CTTTAATTATCTATATCTCACTGGTTTCTCTGCCAAGCTTATATACTAACAAAGGGGCGTCCCCTCAGGCCTTCCCGATCATTCATGATCAATCGAGAAAATTCACGTACGCTACCAGCGCCAAATGTGTCAGCAGCGTCATGTGACTTCCACTGTTGTAACTATATATATATATATGTATTTATCATTTTATAGGGCCACGATTCTTTATAGTAGGTGTCTGTGACTTGTTGGCAATAAATGTCAACAATAAACAGACAGAACACAATCCACTTGTTTTAAAATAAAATATATTAAAAATTCGTTCCTTTGTTTGAAGTTAAGCACAAAGCTACACAATGGGCTATCTATGCTCTGCCCACCACAGGTATCGAAACCCGGTTTCTAGCGTTGTAAGTCCACGGAAATACCGCTGTGCCACTGGGGGGCATATTAGAAATAAGTCAAAGGTATATACAGAAAATTCATTACACTATTGTTTACCACATTTGAATCTAGAGCCTTAAATAATTCACCAATTCATCAAAAGTCCACATGGGCTGGTTCAGTTACTTTAGAACCGAACTGACAAGACAAATTATCCTTTTAACCTCTGTTGTTACAATAAAAACCATGAAAATTTCACTTTAGAAATTGCCCTTTATGGCTAAATTGACAATCAAACAGTCTACCTTCACATTTTTTCACTTTTTATTTTCACTAACTTAACTTCTGTTGGTTACCACAGTTGTATCCAGAACTTTAAATAATTGTCTCTTAGATTTCATCAAAAGTCCACACAGGCTGGTTCAGTTACTTTAGAACCCAGTTGACAAGATAAATTATTTTTCCTATCTCTTTTGTTACAATACAGCTGTGAAACAAACGACAGAAATCACCTGTTAAGGCTAATCATTCACACAGTCTAGCTCTTCTAGTTATTTCTGTCACTTAACTTGCTTTTTTCTCACTGTATCTGCATATATTTATAACATGCAATATAAAAATCTAGAAATGTCTAGCCCTCTAGTAACAACAATATTAAACACAATAAGTAAGACGACATCAGCAATAATACAAAAGCCTAGTACAACAATTAAACTACACACACACAAAGTATGACTCGTACTGAGTTACATAATGAAACCTGTCACAACTATCGCTTTTAAAATAATTAACTTTTAACACTCTTGTTATGAAAACTAAATAAACTAAATCATAACTTTTATACTAAACAGTCTTGTATATTCAACAATATTGGACCTGTAAAAGTATCTTTATACCATACGTAAGTTGGCTCAAATACATTGGAGTAATTGTCAAAAAACCCTATAAAATCATGCTTTTTGTGACATCTTGATCCCCCTATAATTATTTGAAATAGGCAAATACACCATTTTTGTTTGTCAATGTGTGGGACCCATAGAAAATTATTTTTGTACTAAATCCCAGGTAAAATGGTTAAAATACACCCAAGTAATTGGGCAAAAATCCCAAATTATGCTTTTTTGCAAGCACTGACCCTCCTAAACAGACTCAAATGGGGCAAATCCAACTTTTTTAAGTCAGTGTGTTGGGTGCATGAAAATTCATAGTGTTGCGTCAGCGAGGTCACGTGACTCGTTCTCTCGAACCTTCGGGAATAGTTGGGAGATTACTAGATATAGGGTAGTCTGGTATATATATACGAGGGTGACAACGTGACGGGACAATAATGTGTGTAGGTAGTGAGTAATTGATTTGCAGTCAGAGACGTATTGTTGAAGTTCGTTATAGCGTTTGTTTTAGCGCGAATGTTGGAATCAAGTGTATCATAAAGTTATATTCAGAAAGAATAAACC